ATTTATTTATTAAGCTTTATTTAACCTGGCAGGCTTAATAAAAACAGCCTCAGATTAGCTAAAATTTTATTTTGGATGTTGAACAAGAGGCGATGTGTGTGTTAGGTTGTGGACCATTGGCTCTATGTAACCTTTTCTAGCATAATCACTGGATGTGCATCTATAACTAGTTAACCTTTGGAGCAAGTCCATTTCAAGAAGGCCACCATAACTAACTGACCTCAGCTAACACATGAAGGCTGCAATATTACAGACATGAAGCTGAAACCTGGAGTGGTAGTAGCTGAAAGTCATCCCTAACCCATCAGAAAAGCTGGTTTCTTGTGTGGGATTATTTCAGCTGCTGCAGAATTTTGGTTTCTGTAAAACTCAGTAATTTTATTCTGAACAGAAAACATTGCTGAGGCAGAGGTCCAGAGTATATTTCAGGGAGTAGAAAGAAGTTTAAACGTGATATTTTCAGAACGGACGGCTGCTTGTTCTGTTTTCCACTGAGGTCGAACCTTCAGAGTCCATCTGAGCTCCCAGTCTCCTCAGAGAGTCCTCCAGACCGGCTCAGATCTGAGACTTAAGCTAGACGTTCTTGTATTGATGGTGTTTCACTGCTTTAGCTGCTTTAATTTAAATAATGTTACAGCCTGATGTATAAAAGTCCATCTAAGTGTTTTCTGGTCCAGAACCTGCAAGATCTCACCTGGTTTTATTGTCTCCGATGAAAACTTCCTGCCTTCCAGATCTGTTGTCTTGGTTTTCTGTGTTTTATTAAATTAGAGATGATGGTGGCGGCAATGATCTCCTCCTGATAGATGATTGGAGAGCGAGCTGAAGATGGATAAAGTGATAAATGTTTGTAGAATTATGTTTTGGAGGGAATTCCTTTTTAGAAACCTGAGTTTGATTATCAATAATCTGCAGAATCAGCACCTTTAACGTGGAGGAGGGGTGTGAGTGCCCTCCATGATCCTCGGGCCTGTGTTTTCCTGGTCCTCTGTAGGATTTAAAGACACTGATGAAGAGGGAGTTCCAGAAACCTTGCCTGAAACAGAAGAAACCATCATCAGAAAATCCAGGTGGTTGAGTTTTGATTCCTGGACTCGAGAATGTTTGTAAATTGTTTGTAGTCATGTTTTTCTGTTGCAGGCACCTGGAAAGATCTTTACTAATTATTTTAATCAAATAAAGAACAGGAAAACCTGATCTGGTCTCTGAATCTGGACTTGGTTGATTGTGTTATTTAGTCTGAGTTTGACGATTCCTTCTACTTGCTTCAGCTAATCTAGAGTTTCTAAAGTGTAACTGGGTCATTTTTTTCAGGTATTGGATCTGTTGTGAAACAAATCAAATATTATTTTATTTCTCTACTCTCTGCAGGTTTACGTCATCAATGTCACATACTCTGACAACACGTCCCACATCATCTACAGGAGATACAGCAAATTCTTTGACCTCCAGGTAATCCTCCATCGCTCTGAAAACCTGTTTCTAATCCTCCATCGCTCTGAAAACCTGTTTCTAATCCTCCATCGCTCTGAAAACCTGTTTCTAATCCTCCATCGCTCTGAAAACCTGTTTCTAATCCTTCATCACTCTGAAAACCTGTTTCTAATCTTTCATCGCTCTGAAAACCTGTTTCTAATCCTTCATCACTCTGAAAACCTGTTTCTAATCATCCATCAATCTGAAAACCTGTTTCTAATCCTTCATCAATCTGAAAACCTGTTTCTAATCCTTCATCACTCTGAAAACCAGTTTCTAATCATCAATCAATCTGAAAACCTGTTTCTAATCATCCATCAATCTGAAAACTTGTTTCTAATTCTTCATCACTCTGAAAACCTGTTTCTAATCATCCATCAATCTGAAAACCTGTTTCTAATCCTTCATCACTCTGAAAACCTGTTTCTAATCATCCATCAATCTGAAAACCTGTTTCTAATCATCCTTCAATCTGAAAACCTGTTTCTAATCGTTCATCACTCTGAAAACCTGTTTCTAATCGTTCATCACTCTGAAAACCTGTTTCTAATCCTTCATCACTCTGAAAACATGTTTCTAATCCTTCATCACTCTGAAAACTTGTTTCTAATCCTTCATCACTCTGAAAACTTGTTTCTAATCCTTCATCTTAATCCCGCTGCTCTTTTTTCTGCCTGCTGCATCTTGGTAACTTGCGGCCTGCTTTTTTCTGTTCCTCGGCCTCGCTGAGAAGTAGAGACTCTTTCTTTCTGTTTTCTCTCTCTGCTCCTCGTCCTCAGTCTTCTTCTCCCTGCCTTGCCCTCAAAACGTCAGGCAGCTGTCAGACCTTTTTTTATTTAATACAAGCAAAAATGCAGAATTAAATGTGGTGTTATTTGCTGGTTGATGATCCCTGATCGTAACGGAGCTCCTGAAACTGATGGAATATTTTATCCTCTACATGATGAAAATGTAAAAGCTGCAGGAGAATTAAGAAACAGGAGCCAACAGATGGTGAAAAAGGTGCTTTAACTACATAACAGAACCAACCTTTCAGAACCAACGTATCTGAGTTTTTAAAAGATGGAAACATTTTAAAATTTACTTTAATTTTGAACAAAATAAACAAACATATAAACTTAAAGTCTGTTATTAAAATTTATTCATTTATTAGAAAAAAAGCAGACATTTTCAGACGTTTTAATATTAATAATTTATCAATAATCAGCAGCTAACCCTAGAAAACAGAAAGGTCCATTTGTGTGGCCTCCTGAAAACTGGTACCATCTGGTGGTTTCACTTGGGGGTCCGTGGGTCAGCGGAGGGTCCACGGGTCACTGGTGACAGGGAGAAAGTTCCGTCTGAATGGCTCCAGTGTGGTGGTTCTGAGGGACGTTCTCTGGTCCAATCAGCAGAGWGAAGGTCCTCTCAGAAAGAAGCCATTGATGAGCAGAGGAACTGTTTGTGGAAACAGAACCGAGCCAGTGGAATAATAAATGGAGGAAGCTGCAGATATTCAGCTCTCTGCTCCGAAGGACCCGATAAACCTTGATGCTTCACAGTCGGCTGCATTGAGAACCAGAACCAGCACCAGGAGCTGGACTGATTCTGTTTGGTTCTGCTGGTGCGGGGTAACAGCTGCTCACATGTGGTGGCAGACTCTGAGCTCAGCGTCGGCCTCCATGTTGGAGCTCAGTGGTCGATCCACAAATGTATCATTTACATTTTTAATCATGTTTTCTGAAAGATGATTCGGTAAAAAAAATCTTTAGTTAATTTTATTTTTCTGCAGCAGAATTACCTTAACTGTACCTGTTTTTTCTATTGATTTGTCACTGGGTACGGCAGGCTGTTTTAGCATATAATTGAATCAGACATACCTCTTTTTAACAGCATTTCTTCTGCTCACAAGAAGATTTTTACTACTCAGGGCTGAATCTAAAGGTATTTACAACAACATAAATGCAAGAATATATGAGTTTAACAAATAAAACATAAGTTTAGGATCTATAACTCCATAAAACGTAAAAGCAGTTAATTTAACATCAAATGGTTTCTGTTTGATCACTGCTTTTAGGAGAAACCTGTGCTTCAGGTGAGAACCAAACTGATTCTGGTTCTGGTTCTGTCACAGTTTTCTGAAACCTGAGCGGGTCCAGTTCGAGCAGTTCTGCCTGTGGGAGAACAGAACCGTTTAGGTGAGACTGAACGGATCCACATTAGTTTCTCTTCAGTGGCTTTTTATGAAAAAGTCGTCAGCAGAAAATGATAAATTAAAGCCAAATGTTGCTCCAGGGAGCCGTCTCGTCAGCACTTTTATTCTGCAGTAAGAGTGGGCCGAGACCAGCTTGGTCYGGTCTAATAGATTTTTTATTTCATGGCTGTTTTGGGCCGGAGAGACCCAGATCAAGACGGGTCCGGGCTCTTTTCGCTGTCGGACTAAAACAAACAAATTTCTCCTCTGGTTCTTTTCTGTTTTTCACTCTCAAGACCAGGTTCTACAGGAAGTGACTGACGGTACTTCCTGAAGTGTGTACAGTCAGACCTGACGAGTACAGTCCCGCCTGAGACCGGGTCAGGGAGTGGACCGGGTCAGCTGATGATTGTAATGATTCATGCAGCTGATGACACAGGAAGCAGATGAGTAACATTTTAATAATGTCAGGTTCTGCAGAGTCGGGTCGGGTCAGTTCTGATGAAGAAACACAAACGGACCTGTGATGAAAGAGTTAAACAGGAGTCGGTGTCAAGTTCAGCTATATTTAACTACAGTTTGGCTTCTTTTAGCGAAGCTTTTGCTACTTTTTATTTTCAGGTAGCATTTAGCTACTTTTGGCTTTTAGCCTGACGCTATCACCATATATATGTATTAGCTCAGTGCTACACATTCTCCTCTCGTCACTGAGGTCCTC